ACATCCCTAATTCACACACATTATAAATATACTAAATATTCAGAAGTTTTGTAGCTCACTGAGAATCTTTCAAATACAGCAACATCAAGGCTGAATGGTGGCATAAATTTCTTAGTCATTAGGTTGGTTAAGGCTCTAAACATTTTTTTAAATTCTTTTTTCTAGTGGGGAGGTAATTAGGCTTACTTATTTATTATTTTTTTATTTAACAGAGGTACTGGGGATCGAACCCATCACCTCATGCATGCTAAGCATGCGCTCTACCACTGAGCTATACCTTTCCCCCACAAGCCTCTAAATTTTATTTTTGAAAGATCCTTTTTAATAAAGACGAAAAATCATGACTACTGGCATCACTGAGAGCCAGGAATGTTTTATAAACCTTTAAACGTATTATATAATTTTAGGTTAAATAAAACAACATGTTTTTATGTTTGAAATCTAGGTGGTCCACAGAAAGAACTTAAAAACACAACCAAGTTAAAATAAGACCTTTCCACTCAGTTACAAGATACATCTCAAGAAAAAGAATAATCTTATTTCATCTGGAAGAATGTTCAGAACTGAAACAATATATTTTATAAGGTTTCCAAAAAGAAGCTGAAATCAGGAATAATGTAAAAATGTACTTACTTTTGATGGTCATAATGGAGTCGTCCATTGTTGCCTATAATTATTATTGCAGGATTATTTTTCTAAAAATAAAGAGAATGTATTTGTTTTAAAGTCCTTAGATCAAAGAATTACAGATCATTCTAGATGTGCTGTAAGTTCTCTTACACCTTTAAAATCCCAGGACACTGAGCATGGGACTAGTGTGGGACTTAGGGGAGCTTAGTAATAGGACCCACATGGCCTCAGCATTCAAGGCGTTTAATACTAAAGTTCTCCTTTAAATGGTTAATAATGACCTCTGACAATCAGCAAACTATCAGCTGAAGCAAAGAGCACCAGTCTTAGGGCTGTTAGAGCACAAGTAATGTTTCCAATTCATAAGTACATTTTGTTCTTAACTATTTCAGGGACATTGGCTGATCAAAAGTGATTAACATATGAAAAGATATCAACACATGAGCTAGTAGTCATAATGCATAATGCACATATTTTCATGAAAACAAACCGTAATAACCTTCTAAGCAATGCTTGTTTTACTATCTGCATCTAAATGACTCACGCTGATCCATCAAAATTACTAAACATAAACAGGGTGTGGGGAAGGTGGGTATTGAAAAGTTCTCAGACTGAAGGTTCCATTGTGACCTCAAGTTGGTATATGACAAATCATGAACTTACAGCTTTAAATTTATAAATTCCCAGCTATAATATAGTCACCACACTTAAAATATAGTTTGGAGAGCCCTCTACTATTAAACTGAGAAAACTTAAAAAAGCTATATTGTTCACAGCCTAACTTTGTTAATATTATTGAAGTGGGTAACAGTCCTGAAAACAAATATACCTTTCCATCATTGTCGAAAGAATCAAAAAATACTCCAACACCATTCCACATATCAGCTGATCCAAACACAGGACCCTCCAAGCCTTGATTTTCTGTATACCAAATTGCCTGTAAATATGTAACAGAGAACATTTAGAGGCTAGTGGTATACGCACTCATATACATTTCCTAAGTTAAAGAAATTACCATACCAGGCCATCAGCTCCAATTCTACCTCTCCCAGTCACTCGAAATGTCACCTCAACTTCCCAGTTCTCAAAGGCTGCTGTTGTTTTTGTCCACACTGATCCTCTTTGGCTTTTTAAAGATGGTGCTATTCGAATCTGATCTGAACTTGGAATAGCATCTAGAATAGAAATCAGGGAAGAAAAGCTTTAAGTTATAATTAGGTAAGACTCCATGAATCATCACCAAGCTGTTATACACCTATAGAGATCTAATTTTAACTCAGTTACCTGTACAGTCATTTTGTTAGGAAAAATTTCCATGTTGATAGTTCCAAGTTTTAAATTTTAGGGGTTTCTACAACCCCCCTTATCTTTTGAATAGTGAAATATCTCTGCCAAAAAAAAAAAATTAAAGCTACAACTATACATGAAACATTCAGGGGGCAGAAGAGAGGAAACTATGGCTTAAAAGGCAAATCAACTATTAGATTCTCATAATCTTCTTCTTCAAATATCTCAAAAATTTGCATATTATTTTAAAAACTTAACTGTATTTTTTACCAGCTTGTAAATGTCATAAAGCTCAAACACATGAAAAGAACATACCACTAGGAATCAAGAGACTTATTCCTAGCCTCACTTCAGCTGTGTGACTTTGAGCAAGTAATTCTTACTCTCTTGGGCTCACCATATGTTCACCTGTAAAATGAAGGGGCTAGGCTCAATTACTTCCATATATACCCCAAAAGTTATATGCAAAATTTGGAGCATATATACATTCCTCTAGGGAGAGGGTCAGGTGACTCTCAAGTCATCAAACAGTTCTCCAGCATGAGCAAATTCTCATAGAGAACAGTGATCCCCAAGATGGTGGTTTCATCTCCATCCACTTACGAGTTGTTTGATCATAGGCAAGTTATACATTTCTCTAATAACCTCACAGGGATATAAGTACCTATATGAGTGCATATGAACATTTCAGTAAATGTTAGCTATTCCTATTATTGGACTAGATAATTATTAAAGCACCTATGAGGTCTAGCTATGAACAATTCTAGCACACCTTCTCAGATATGAACGAGTTCTGACGTTCTGACATCCTTGCTGGGAAATAACTGTATTGTCTCTTTACAGGTAGGAAAACTTGACAAAAAAAGACAAGTTGAGATACTTTAGTAAATTCAGCCACTTTGTCACCATCACTTTCAAACACTTAATGGTTTGGGGGCAGGCATCATGGAAAGAGCAGTGGGTACAGAATCAGAAGACCTGGATTTGAGTTCTATTCTAGCCACATGAGCTATGCAACCATTTCCAGGAACTAACCTTTCCAAACATGTTTTTTCCATCTATAAAACAGGTAACACCTGCCTTGCCTAGTAAAGATCAAATCAGAGAATGAAGGTGAAAGAGCTCTGAGAGCTATAAAGGGTTACAAATTGCTGGGGGTTTTTGCCCTAATGGACCCAAGGATGTGTACTGACGGTACAAAAGGACATTAGAATTAAGAAAGAGGAACACCATAGATTTGGTTTTAATTTGGGGGTGATATAAAGGGACATGTTTAAACTAAATCTTAAATTTCGTTATTTAAAAAATTGTTTTAAATAATGGATCTCAGGGTGAAATGAAAACAGCAAAAATATAATCAATGGAGTAAAAAAACTGTGAGACTGTAAAAATTACAGGGATAATGAATGCTAGGGATATCCACAGCAGTGATTCCCAGAGTCAACAGATAGAAAAATCATGGCTAAAATTCTAATCTCTTTATTTCAAATTCAATCTAGCCATACAGCTTTAATTCACCACATACATTATCTGACATTTCTGCAGCAGAAAAGCTTAGTTGGTTACAGGTTCTGTACAGAAAGTCAATTTAACTAATTTAAGCAGTTGATTAATACTCCTAATTGGCTATTTTATGTAATGTGAGAAAAAGAGAGAAGAGCAAGAGGACAACAGAGAAATGCAGAAGTGAAAAAAATGTGAACAAATTTATCACGACTACTTGAAAAATTCATTATCATTCCAAGAAGAAAAACAAAAATCCCCCAAACCTGTGTTTGGTACACCTGCATCATCTTTGTGTATTAAGAAAAATGCTACCTTGATTACAAATGACCAGCTCTACACCCTAGATGAGTGGGCATACAATTAATGGCTGCTGAGTAACAGAATAATTGCACTCCACTTCAAATACTTAATGACTTGGTCGTTAAGTCAAATTGAAATTTATGCCTTTGAATTACACATTAATTTCAGTGAAACAGCTCTTCCTAAAAGTGTGCTTCCTATTCATCAATTACTTTCTAGAAATGGAACATTTTGTTTCAAGCACTGGACAATCTAAAACGATGTATACAAACCATATATAAGTGACTGCTTAATAACACATAAAGATGGAATTCAAATTGCCAGCGCTTCTTACCCCATATAAAGGCATTTGTCACGTGTTTCAAAGGTTGTATCTGATGGTCACTGAACAGAGCTTACAGCACGCCGAGTGTTACGGCTGATTCCTTAGTCAGCAGTGACACATCAGCACTAAAGTACAGACGTTTTCTTTCACATATGTAAATGTCTAGCAAGGCTCTCTCACCTACTAACAGCGTCACACACTTAAGAGTGAATAAAATATGCTGCACGGCTTATTTCAATTTTCCCCAAAAGACTGAAAAGAAAAAAAAAGCCCAAACACAAAAACCAAACCCAGTTGTACACATAATGCTATTCTTAGCCTCAAGTTCTCAATCAACACCGGAAAAAAAAAAAACCAAAAACGACTTCCGCTACTAAATAAAGCAACGAGTGTGACTATTAAGTTAAATAATGTGTCAGTAGAAGAGAAAAGTCACTAAGAAAGGCAAACTTAAGGACAATTCCAATAGGGTGAGAAGAACGTCCTCTGACATAGACTTCAAGATTACTCTAAAGCCAGCATATGCCGTCTCTGGAGCCGTCAGGGGGCATCGGGTACAACCTGGAGCATTAAGCATGGCTAATACCGGAGGGAAAAAAGCAAGGGAGGGCCGAGAGAAGGGGGAAAGAAGGCAGGGGGATGCAAGACCAGCTCTCAGGTTGGGATGGGGAGGGGTTGGGGCGCGGGACGTTTTCCCTTGAGACGTGGCGTTAGGCTGAAACTTGATGCCTCGAAACGAGTTTAAGAGAGTACTTGTAAGTAACAAAAAACCTCTAAACCAAATGGAAAGAACAGACGACATCAAAGAAGGGAGGCCAAGAGGAAGGTGGGATGGAGAGAATGTGGGGAAGACGAGGGAGGCAGACGGAGGGAACCTTGCAGACTCGAGCCGGCCTGCAGGAGGGGCTGCTGAGAAGGGTCCCCTCCACCGCGCTTACGGTGTGCAGCGGAGAGGAGGTGCAGAGGGGGCACAAGGCGGGGGAGACGACCCGGACCCCCACCCCCTGCCCCGGCTTACTCCCCGCGTGGGCCCAGAAAGGCACGGCCCCGTCGCTCTGCACCAGGTGCGGTCCCTTGAAGCTGTATTTGTACTCGAAACGGCGATGTGGCTGCGCGGCTGGAGTGCCCGCGGCGCCAGCAGCCGCGGGGTCGCCTCCCACGCCGTCGCCCCCGACGAAACGACAGAGCGACAGCAGCAAGGCGCAGAAAAACGACCGAAGTCCGGCCCGAGGACCCCCTTCGCCTGGATCCCCGCCATCTTGGATTCTGGAAAGCGGAGGCCAGCGGGGAGGGGGAGGGGGCGGG